AAAAAAAAAAAAAAAAAATCAGTGGTATTATTATAAATCAAAGTAAAACTTGAAGATAACTTAGTATAAGGAACTTCAGCTGGGCACAGTTGCTCATGCCTGTAATCCCAACACTTTGGAAGGCTGAGGTGGGCGGATCACTTGAAGTCAGGAGTTTGAGACCAGCCTGGCCAACATGGTGAAACCCCATCTCTACTGAAAATACAGAAGTTAGCTGGGCGTCGTGGTGTGCATGTAATCTCAGCTACTCAGGAGGCTAAGGCGGGAGAATTGCTTGAACCTGGAAGGCGGAGGTTGCAATGAGCCAAGATTGCAGCACTGCACTCCAGCCTGGGAGACAAGAGCGAAACTCTGTCTCAAAAAAACCAAAAGAAAACTCTTATGTCCTTTACCCTGATTTACCTATTATTAACATTTTAACTCATTTGCTTTGTCATTTCTGATTCCATATGTATTTTTCCTGAACCATTTGAAAAGCCTTAGATGGCTGTCCTTTCCAAAGTTGAAATAGAATATTAACAAACGGAGAAATAATGTATGTACAAGCATGTATGATGATTGTAAATTTCACTAATATGTGAGGAAACAGGATCAGAATAGTTAAGTAATGTGTTGAAGAAAATGCAACCAGAACCAAAAGGTAGGGCCGGGATTCAGATCTTGGAAGAAAGAATAAACTGTGTTACACTCCCAGTTCACTGCTGGCCCTACCGTGTCACGGAACTGGATGCTTGCGGCTGCCCTTGGAAAGTGCTACAGCAGCTCAGCTTTCCCTGCCTTTGCTGACCAGGCTGGGCCTAGCCCTTGGGTGGCGGAGAGGAGATGAGGCTGGTATAGGTAGTATTTCCTTTCAGGAGGTAATGCAAAGAAAGGACAGTATGTGTAATTACCTTAAAGCCCTTTTTATGGAAACCTGAGTGCCCAGAGATAAAAATATTTGAGAATGTTCTATATAGCACCACTGCTAATGGTCAAAGACTGAGGTGGAAAAAAAATGCTCAAGTGTCTAGAAAAATGGCCAAATCAATTATGGCACACTCATTCAATGAATTACTCTGTATCCACATGAAAGGATGAGGTAAACCCATATATGCTGATGCAGAAAGACTCACCGTTAAGTGGGACTGACAAACCGCAAAGCACTATGAATAATGCCAGCCTATTTTTGCTTATTTGAATTATATGTAGAAAAAAATGTGGAGGCATATGTCCCAAAGTGATGGCATGATTATATCTGTGGGACAATCATAACAATAAGAGTGGCTAGCTCATGCCTAGTGCTTAGTGCCCAGGGCAGCTCCATGCACCGCACCCACGGCAGTCCTCTGGGCTGAGGCTGAGGCTGAGGCTGTGTCCATTTACACCTGAGGGCGGGGCACAGAGAAGTAGAGACACTTGCCCAAGGTCACAGAAGAGACAGAAAATGGAGCCGGAATTTGAACCCAGGCCTGTGGCTCTGGAGAACACATTCTAAAGTGGCTTTGCACTCTGGATAGTTAATTTCTACAATGTCTAAATTCTGAATAGTAAATGTGTTATTTTTATAGTCAGGAGAAAACAATAAAGCATTTTGTGGAAGAGAGAAGTACTCACATGCTGATCGAAAAGGAATGCTGATCTTGCCCTGGATGCTGCTGATGGCGACAATGTGGCCTTGCCTCCTCTTGATCATGGACGGCAGGAGCGCTGAGGACAGAGGCAGGGGCTTAGGCAAGTACCCTAACTTCCAGTCATTAGTCAGAGTGAGGGAGAATGGTGAAAACCCCTTAGGGTGAAGGACTATCTGGGAACTCCTAGCCTCCTATGCCCCACAGAGTGCCAGCAGGCCAGCAGGAGGGAGGAGAGAGGCAAGGAAACAAGGACGGAGGTCACTAGAGATGGGTAGCTCAGTTCCCTTTTCCTGCTGGAGCCTCTCCCCAGATTGAAATCCGTGGTGGGATATAACAATTTCCCACCTTGTAGGGCTTTGCAGGCACCATGAAAAAGACATGTAGGTAGGCAGGGCGCAGTGGCTCAAGCCTGTAATCCCAGCACTTTGGGAGGCCGAGGCGGGTGGATCACGAGGTCAAGAGATCGAGACCATCCTGGTCAACATGGTGAAACCCCGTCTCTACTAAAAATACAAAAAATTAGCTGGGCATGGTGGTGCGTGCCTGTAATCTCAGCTACTCAGGAGGCTGAGGCAGGAGAATTGCCTGAACCCAGGAGGCGGAGGTTGCGGTGAGCTGAGATCGCGCCATTGCACTCCAGCCTGGGTAACATGAGTGAAACTCCGTCTCAAAAAAAAAAAAAAAAAAGACATGTAGGTAAGGCTGCACCAATGAGGCTGTCACAAAGGAAAACATCTTGACTAGAAACTATAAAGCAGATACCAAAACTGTTAACAATAACACCCACTCCAGGGCAATAGAGAGGATGGAGACAGGGAACGTTTCGCTGAAAAGGATCCACGTGAAGTAAAAAGAATTGGCAACATATCACTTGTGACTGCTGGTTTCTCAAAACTGTTACCTTTCGTTAGAGCAACTGGGCCAAAGTAGTTTGTCTCCATGACCCTCTTGTCCACATCCACTGTGGTGTCCATGATGGTACCACGGTAGCTGATCCCAGCATTATTGACAAGTATGTCCACACAGCCAAAGCACTGCAGGATCTCGGCTGCTGCTGCAACTATGGCCCCAGGGTCCATGAGGTCGAAGGTCACCATGTAAGGCTTGTGTGTCTGCACCTGGTCAAATACAACAGACACCAAATTCACTTTCTGAGTGACAGGCCATCTGAGGTATGTACAGATGTATGTAACTACAGATCACTAAGGCTCAAAACAATAATGAACTTTATACTTTAAGGAACTAGAAAAAGAACAGCAAACTAAACCCAAAACCAGCAGAGGAAGAAAATATTATAATAAAGACTAAAGCACAGATAAACAATATGGAAAAGCAGCAAAAATCAATGAAACCAAAAGCTAGTTCTCAGAAAATATCAACAAAATTGAGAAAGCATTCACTAGACTGACAAGGAAAAAACAGAGAAGACACAAATAACCAAAATCACAATGAAGGTGGGACCGCTGACTTTACGGAAATGACAAGAGATGATAAAAAAGATTATAAGAGATTATAAAAAATGATTATAAAAGAATACTGTGAACATTATTTGCCAACAAGTTAGAAAAACTAGAATAAATGGATAAATCTCTTGAGAAACACAAATTACCTAAACTGACTCAAGAAGAAATATAAAATCTCAGGAGACTTATAACGGATAAAGAGATTGGATCAGTAATCAAAAACCTTCCAGCAAAGAAAAGTCCTGGACTGGATGGCTTACTGGTGAATTCTGCCAAACATTTAAAGGATAATTAACACCATTCCTTCTCGTACTCTTCTAGAAAACGAGAAGGAGAAAACACTTCTTAATTCACTCTGAGGCCAGCATTACTTTGATACTAAAGCCAGATTAAAGATATCACAATAAAATTATAGAGTAGTATCTCTCGTGAACATAGATGCAAAAATCTTCAACAAAATACCAGTAAATTGAATTTAACAGCATATTAAAAAATTATTCACCATGACCAAGTGGGATTTATCCTAGGAATGCAAGCAAGGTTGGTTCAACATAGGAAAATCAGTCATGGTCAGGTGCAGTGGCTCATGCCTGTAATCCCCAGCACTTGGGGAGGCTGAAGTGGGAGGCTTGCTTGAGCCCAGGAGTTCGAGGCCAGCCTGGGCAACATAGCAATACCCTGTCTCTTTAAAAAGTAAATTAAAAAAAAAAAGAAAATTGATCATTATAATACACCACATTAACAGAATGAAGAAAAAAAACCCACTTGAGCATCTCAAGTAATGCAGAAAAGAGATCTGACAAAATCAAATACCTTTTCAAGGTAAACATACTCAATAAACTAGGGATAGACCAAAAATTCCGCAACACAGCAAAGGATGTTTATGAAAAACCCACTGATAACATACTCAGTGGAAAGAGATGGAAAGCCTTCCTCTAAGATCAGGAACAATGCAAGGATGCCTGCATTCACAATGGCTGCTCAACATTATACTGGAAGTGCTAACCAGAACAATTAGACAAGAAAAAAAAGAGACCCAATTTGGAAAGGAAAAAGTAAAACTATCTCTGTTTGCAGATGGCATGATTCTATATATACGGAATTCCAACAAATCCACAAAAGCTAAAGGGTTAATTAACAAACTGAGCAAAGTGGCAGGGTACAAGAACAACATCCAAAAATCAGCTGTGTTTCCATACACAAACAATAATAATCTGAAAAGGAAATCAGGAAAGCAATTCCATTTACAATAGCAGTTAAAAAAATTAAATATGCTAAGGTTTGAATGTGTCTTCCAAAACCCATGTGTTAGAAACTGAATCCCCAATGCAATAGTATTGAGAGGTGGGAACTTCATGAACGGATTAATGTGTCATTGTGGGAGTGGCTCCCTTATCAAAGGATAAAATTCAGCCCCTTTCCCTCTCTCTCACCCATGTGATGCCTTCCTACATGTTATGACGTGGTAAGAAGGCCCCTGCCAGACACCAGACCCTCACCAGATGCTGGCCCCTCAAACTTGGATTTCTCAGCCTCCAGACTTTGATAAATAGATCTCTTTAATAATTACTCAGTGCTGGCACTCTGGGAGGCCAAGGTGGATAAATCAATTGAGGCCTGGAGTTTGAGACCAGCCTGGGAAACATAGCAAGACCCTGTCCCTACAAAAAAATAAAAATTAACCCAGCACAGTGGCCTGTGCCTGTAGTCCCAGCTACTCAGGAGGCTGAGGCAGAGGACTGTTTGAGCCTGGGATTTTCAGGCTGCATCAAGCCAGGATCACACTACTGCACTCTAGCCTAGGTGACAGAGCAAGACTATGTCTCTAAAAAATAATTAATAATAATAAAATAAAAATAAAAATTACCCAGTCTCTGATATGCTGTTACAGCAGCATAAAACAGGCCAAGAAAAATACTTGGCAATAAATCTAAGCAGGTGAAAGGCTGTACACTGAAGACTATAAACAATGCTGGCGGAAATTAAAGAAGATAGAAGTTCATGGAAAGACACCCTGCATTAACGGAATGAAGACTGTTAATGTCAGAGTACTACCCAAAGTGACCAACAGATTTGATGTTATTCCTGCCAAAATCCCACGGGCAGCTTTTTGCAGAAATAGAAAAAATAATCCTAAAATTCATATGGGAATATGGTGGGCCCTGAATAGCCAAAACACTCCAGAAAAAGGACAGTTGGAGGACCTCAAAACTTACACAAATCTACAGCAATTAAAACGGTATAGGTCCTTCTCCCCGCCCCCGCCACACCCCGCCCCGCTTCCTGCCCTCATGCTCCACCGCTAAGGGGGAGAAAAACCAGTAGGATAGACATATAGACCAACTGAATAGAACAAAGAACCTAGAAATACACACTTCAAATATGTCATCAATTGATCTTTGTAAGGATGCCCATTCAATGAGGAAAGGACAGTCTTCAACAAGTGGTGCTGGGAAAAGCAGATAACCACATGCAAAAGGATGACACTGGACTCTTAGCTAATAACATATGCAAAAATTACCTCAAGTGGATCAATCACCTAAAATGTGAGATTTAAAACTATAAAACTTATAGAAGAAAACACTGGAGGAAATCTTCACGATGTTGGACTTGGCAACAGCCTCATGGATATGACACCAAAAGCAAAGGCAAAGAAAAGAAAAAAAGCACAAATTCATCAAAATTAAAGGCTTCTGTGCACCAGAGTACTAAGAAAATGAAATGATACTGAATGGGAGAAAATATTTGCAAATCACATATCTTTAAGGGATTAATATCCAGAATACATAAAGAACTCCTAAACTCAACAACAACAAACAACAACCTGATTTTAAAAGCAGGCAAAGGACCTGAACAGACATTTCTGTTTTTTGAGACAGATTCTCACTCTGTCCCTCAGGCTGGAGTGCGACTGGGCCAATCTCGGCTCACTGTAGCCTCCACATCTGGGGTTCAAGCGATTCTGCTGCCTCAGCCTTCTAAGTAGCTGGGACTACAGGCGTGCACCAACACACCTAGCTAATTTTTTCATTTTTTGGTAGGGGCGGAGTTTGGTCATGTTGGCCAGGCTGGTCTCGAACTTCTGGAAGTGATCCACTTGCTTCGGCCTCCCAGAGTGCTGCAATTACAGGCGTGAGCCACCGTGCCCGGCCCTGAATAAATACTTCTCCAAAGATTTATAAATGATCAATAAGCACATGAAAAGATGCTCAACATCATTTTTAATTAGGGAAATACAAATCAAAACCACAGTGAGGAGGCTGAGGTGAGAGGATCACTTGAGGCCACAAGTCTAAGACCAATCTGGGCAACATGGTGAGACCCTGTCTCTATATAAAATTCAAAAAAAAAAATTAGCCGGGTGTGGTGGCACACGCCTATAGTCCTAGCTACTCAAGAGGCTGACGTGGGAGATCACCTGAGCCCAGGAGTTCAAGGCTACAGTGAGCTATCACTGTGCCACTGCACTCTAGCCTGGGTGACAGAGCAAGATGCTGTTTAAGAAAAGAAAACGCTTTCTGCCCGTGGACGCCGCCGAAGAAGCATCGTTAAAGTCTCTCTTCTCCCTGTGATCATGTCTAAGTCAGAGTCTCCTAAAGAGCCAGAACAGCTGAGGAAGCTCTTCATTGGAGGGTTGAGCTTTGAAACAACCGATGAGAGCCTGAGGAGCCATTTTGAGCAATGGGGAATGCTCATGGACTATCTGGTAATGAGAGGTCCAAACACCAAGCGCTCCAGGGGCTTTGGGTTCGTCACGTATGCAACTGTGGAGGAAGTGGATGCAGCCATGAAGGCAAGGCCACACAAAGTGGATGGAAGAGTTGTGGAACCAAAGAGAGCTGTCTCAAGAGAAGATTCTCAAAGACCAGGTGCCCACTTAACTGTGAAAAAAATATTTGTTGGTGGCATTAAAGAAGACACTGAAGAACATCACCTGAGAGATTATTTTGAACAGTATGGAAAAATTGAAGTGATTGAAATCATGACTGACAGAGGCAGTGGCAAGAAAAGGGGCTTTGCCTTTGTAACCTTTGATGACCATGACTCCGTGGATAAGACTGTCATTCAGAAATACCATACTGTGAATGGCCACAACTGTGAAGTTAGGAAAGCCCTGTCAAAGCAAGAGATGGCTAGTGCTTCATCCAGCCAAAGAGGTCGAAGTGGTTCTGGAAACTTTGGTGGTGGTCATGGAGGTGGTTTCGGTGGGAATGACAACTTTGGTCGTGGAGGAAACTTCAGTGGTCACGGTGGCTTTGGTGGCAGCCGTGGTGGTGGTGGATATGGTGGCAGTGGGGACGGCTATAATGGATTTGGTAATGATGGAGGCAATTTTGGAGGTGGTGGAAGCTACAATGATTTTGGCAGTTACAACAATCAGTCTTCAAATTTTGGACCCATGAAGGGAGGAAACTTTGGAGGCAGAAGCTCTGGCCCCTATGGTGGTGGCAGCCAATACTTTGCCAAACCACGAAACCAAGGTGGCTATGGCGGTTCCAGTAGCAGCAGTAGCTGTGGCAGTGGCAGAAGATTTTAATTAGGAAACAAAGCTTAGAAGGAGAGGAGAGCCAGAGAAGTGACAGGGAAGCTACAGGTTACAACAGATTTGTGAACTCAGCCAAGCACAGTGGTGGCAGGGCCTAGCTGCTACAAAGAAGACATAATTTAGACAAATACTCATGTGTATGGGCAAAAAACTCGAGGACTGTACTTGTGACTAATTGTATAACAGGTTATTTTAGTTTCTGTTCTGTGGAAAGTGTAAAGCATTCCAACAAAGGGTTTTAATGTAGATTTTTTTTCTTTTTCTTTTTTTTGCACCCATGCTGTTGATTGCTAAATGTCTGATCATGACGCTGAATAAATGTCTTTTTTTAAAAAAAAAAAAAAAAAGAAAAGAAAAGAAAAAACAAGGCCTGGTGTGGTGGCTCACGCCTGTAATCCCAGCACTGTGGGAGGCCGAGGCGGGTGGATCACGAGGTCAAGAGATCGAGACCATCCTGGTCAACATGGTGAAACCCCGTCTCTACTAAAACTACAAAAAATTAGCTGGGCGTGGTGGCGCGTGCCTGTAATCCCAGCTACTCAGGAGGCTGAGGCAGGAGAATTGCTTGAACCCGGGAGGCAGAGGTTGCAGTGAGCCAAGATCGTGCCATTGCACTCCAGCCTGGGCGAGCAAGATTCCATTTCAAAAAAAAAAAAAAAACTTTTAAAGTCATCACCAACCCCCATTCCCACCCAATGAGTAGAGCTTAGCCAGGTAAAACAAAAGGGAGAACAAGAGAGAACCTTCTAAACTCACAGTGCTAGCCAGCAGGGGCACTGGGATGTAAACCACTGGACAGTTCTCCCTCCCCATGCAAAGGGCCCAGTTTGCTGTAGAGACCTGCCGCCTTCCCTGGGACAGTGTGACACATGGAAGTCCTGCAGCTCAGCAGTCCAGGAGTGGGCCACCACCTCCTCAGTGCCTAAAGAAGATGGCCTGCACTCCTTCCCCATGGAAAGCACACCCCTAGCTCACCTTCGTGGCATGAGAAGCAGTGAGTTCTCTTATGAGCTCTTCCAGGGCCTCACCATTCCGGCCACAGAGCACCAGCTTAGCACCCGCAGCATAGAAGACCTTTGCACATTCTAAGGGAAGAGAAAAGAGCGTTAACAGCCATTCTTCCCCAGTGCCGCTCAGTTCAAATTCACCCAGTGTTGCCGTCTGCTGTTTCACAACCTTGACGTGTCTATGTTGGCCCCTGCTGTGTGGCCCAGCATGAAGCTGGGAGCTAGGGCCCAGTGCAGGGCTCATATCCAATGCTACAGACATCCACATGGCAAAGAGAAAGGAAGGCTGAGATGGACAGATGTGTTAAGTACCACACTCAGAACACCCCATGATACTTCTGTTCACCTGGATCAGCTGTGAGCATCACCCATCTTCACAGCCGAGGGAGCTCAGCGTCACTCAGGCAGGGGCTTGTCCTGACAGGCAAGGACAGTTAGGGCCAGCTATTATGGTGCCGTGCCCTGCCAAGGCTGTGTGGTGGCACTACCCAGGCACAGCTCTCCTGGAAATACATGGTCCTGTAGAAAGGCTGGGGCAGAGGACTGAGGCCTTTCCAAGGTCTGATGGGCTGTTTCCCAGGAAGTCCTTGAGGCAGAGGGAGCAGAGTGCTTGAGGGGCCACAGGCAGATGGGGCTGGGACAGAAGGTCTAACAGCCTCACTGGCTACAGAGGGGTCAAGTCAGTGCATGGGAGTGCCTGCCACACGGAGGACCATGAAGGGTGCCTGCCTTTGAAAAGGCTCAGTCCCACCAGGCAGGAGGGAGTGGGGACACTGGAAGAAAGCAGACTCTACGGAGCCCACCGCACTCCTCCAGGTGACAACTGATGAGGACTTCAAGTAAGACCACAGCAGGCACAGTCCGAAGCTAGTCAGACACGTGCTCCATATTGTTTTGGTGGCAAGAAACAGAAACTAAACTCACACTGGGGTAAAGCAAAAAGAGAATTTGCCAGAGGGATTGTGGGGTATCTCAAGAATGGAGAGGAGAGCCGCAGGGCCGAAACCTAGGAGGGACCTAAGTGCTGGCTGCAGGGGCGCTCTCACGTGTGGGCGGGCCCCAGAGCTCACATCCACACGACGCCCCTGCCGCACAGTTTGTCTTGTCTCTTCCCATCCAGCCCTGATACAATCCCAAGGAAGGCTGTGATCTGCCTTGAATGGGGGCCCCAGAAGAGTCACAGGTTAATTCTCCCGTGGCTAAGCAGGAGGGCCCGACAAAAAAAAACCCAGGACGCAGGAGGGTAAACCCTCAGAACCGGGGGTGGAGGACTACCCTGTGGGGAGTCAGGAAGGAAACAGTGATGGGAGGAGAGGAGGCAGAGGGTGATGCTGCCACTTCTTGCTGAGCCTTCCCTGCAGCATATCCTATATAAATAAATAGTGCCCTGAAAATGTGCATACAGCTTATGAAAAGCAGCAGCCCAGCAGCCAAGAGAATGGACTTGAGCTAGACTTGAGCTCCGGTAAGTTAGAACCTCTGTGTTTCTGACTTTCCTCTTATTTAGGATGCTTTTCATCTATCAAGCACTGTGGTAAGAGATTACCTACCTTAGCTCATTCGGTCCCTGGGCGTGTGGCTGTGGGACCGAATGAGCTAAGGTAGGTACTCTCCTACTGCAATGCTCCCTAGATAAACAGCACTACCGCAGGGTCAAGTGTCGTTTTTGTATTTCTATTTATCAAAAATTTTTTTTCTAGAGACAGGGTTTTGCTCTGTTGCTCAGGCTGGAGTGCGGTGGCACAAGTTCACTGCAGCCTCGAACTCCTGGGTTCAAGTGATCCTTCCACCTCAGCCTCCAGAGTAGGTGGGGCCATAGATACTCACCACCATGACTGGCTAATTTTTGTGTTTTTGTAGAGATGGGGATTTTGCCATGTTGCCCAGGCTAGTGTCAAATTCCTGAGCTCAAGCGATCCTCCTGCCTGGGCCTCCCAAATTGCTGGGATTACAGGTGTGAGCCACTGCACCCAGCCACATGTTGGTTTAGAGGCACTCCTGTCCTCATCTGAGGTATAGTCTCCCTCAAATGCTCACCAGCAGATCCATACAGGATACCTCGGCCCCTGACCTGACACCAAGTGAGCCACCGACTTGGTTCCAGACCAAATCTTAGAAGCCCACGTGACCAGGTGGTGCCCTAGCTCCCAGTTCATGGACGGGAATGGCCTTTGCAGGCTAGTTCCATCTCAGGGAGCCAGATGGTGAGGGGCCAATGCTGCGGGGTCAGAAAATCAGGACTGCCATCTAGCTCCTCAGCTGGGAAGGAAGGAAAGGTCAGAGGGGCAGGCAGTGGGTACTGAATAGCCCTTCCCTTAAAGAAGTGTCAAACTTCCTTAAAGCTAGATGGGCTCAAAACAGGGGAGGAGAGGAAACTCCAGTGTCCTTCAGCACCAGGAGTCCTAAGAGGCCTGAGGGGAGGCTCCCTGATGTCTGTCTCATGGTGTAAAGCCTCCCTGTGGTTCACAGCTCCTCATTCAGCTCCCCACACGGCACTGGCTCACCCAGGTGCCTCTCCACAGACCTGACAGTCTTTGGGAAAGAGGTGCTAAGCAATCTCAATCTAGACACACCATCTTCTTTGAAGGACATGAGGCTGCTGTGTTCATTGGCTCATCCCGACAAAATGTGGAAGCTCAGAGAGGGCACCCTGGGTACTGAGGGCTGGTCCCAGCGCTCCAGCCCCACCTGCCCTGGTGCACTTCTCAGCAGAGCAGCAAAGTCCCCACAGTAAGGAGGGGGGTGGTGGCTGCACTCCAAGCCAGATGCCCGCATTCCTGAGGCTAAAACTGCTCATCCGGTTTAGAAATCATTCCCAAAGGTTAGGAACGTTCGGCCCTCCTTGCTTCCTCACCCCATTTTGTCTTGTCCTGACCAATGCATAGGACATTTGTGAGGGCCACCAAAGGGTGCAGATACAGAACCAAAGGTGGGAGGCCCACAGGAGTCTGAACAACTTTGGGAAGATGACTGCCTCAATTCTGCTTGAGTTTTGCTTCCTAGCAAAGCTAAAAAGAGAGGAAATGAAAGTTTGTGTAGGGAGTGACAGAAATGAAAACAACAGGTTGGAAGGATTCCATTTTCATTTCTTGAAAAAGTTGATACTGGAAGGTAGGAGGGTCCAAGGAGAAAGGAGAACAACTCCAAGGTACCGTATGTGAAGGGCTGTGGGTGACTGCCCAGTGCCACCGGCACGCCTGGCTGGAAATCAAGAGAGCTGTGCACAGCCATGTGGCTAAAGCTGGAGGAAGCAGGCATCCAGAACGTTCTGTTCCTTTAGTCAGTGGTCCCACTATTCTACAAGGACAAGCTCAAGAAGCTTAAATACAAAACAGGAGACAAGATAGGATAGATATGAAAACTGAAGACTCATTGCATAGCTCCAAACCTTCTGGGTGGCTGCACAGCAGGCAGAGCCACTGAGGACAGCATATAGCTCTGCCTCCTCAAAGTAGTAAGGGAACGGCAGCGCATCCTTGGCGACATCAACCGTGGCTGTACTTGACATGGCCAGTTAAGAATCTGCCCTACTTTATCTGGAGGGAGGGACTCTTCTTCCCAAGAAGTTAAGTGGGGCAGAATATAAGCGGTGACAGGAACTCAGGAAAGGCCTGACATCTTATGATACATAGACAGGCCTGGTGACCTCTGTGACATTTTCTGTTCCCTTCATAATCTTGGTGTCGGGAGAGGAGATGCAGAATGAAGATGACAGCATTTTTCTCAAACATCCACGGATGGGAGCACCTGTGACGCAGAGCTCCACCTCTGCCATCTCTCAAATGCTCTTCAAGGACTTTCACAAAATGCTTTTCTTTGAGCTCAAGAGAAGTGGCTGCTGACCACTCTATATATAGTAACTGAGTAAGGTCAGAGGACCGATGATGGCAAAGGGCCTGTGGACAGCTGTCCCTGCAAAGGTCTGGATATCCAATGACAGACATGGTGTTCACCCATGGAGACCTCACCTAACATCCACAGTGGTGCATAAATGATTCCATACTCCCTAAAGCCTTCTGAGGCCACCCCTGGCCAACTGCAAGTCAGTTCCACTACAAAGGCCCATCTGCTCCTCTATGTTCATGCAGGACCCAACTGTTTATGGGTCCTTGTGCGACCATGCTGCTCCCACCTCTGGGCCCATCTGGAATGTCCTGTCTCCCAGCCCACCTTTCCTTTTACCTGGCCATCTTCCCTGCTGAAGCTTTAAGACTGTGAGTTCTAGACAGAGAGATGTGGGTTTGACTCTTGGTTTTGCACCTTCTGGCTGGAAGTCCTAGTCATTCCTTCTCTGAATCTTAGCTACGAGAAGTCAATGAGATAATGCATGTAAAAATGCTTAGCACCACCCAGCACATTTACATGTGCCTTGACCCCAGCAGGCTGGTTTGGGAGCACACGTTACTGCAATGGCAATATACAGAGAAAAGTCCTTGCCTTTCTCCTTACAACAGTTGACGGTGACATCCTTAAAGGAAGGGACCCTGTCTTTCACACGTTGGTCCTAGCACCTGGCCCACAGCCTCCCACTTAGCAGGTGATCCATCAGCTCCAGCTGAGCTATCAGCAACCAGAAGATGCAGCAGCGGGTGGGGTCACCACAATTCAGGGGACTCCTCAGCCTTCTTCCATGGAACTCCTCAGCCTTCTTCCATGGAACTCAGCGTGAGTATGGATGGCAGATGGTGTGGCGTGTGCATGTGCAATGTGCCAAGTCAATATACGTGTGTGGCAGGAAAACAGCAGAGCTCTGTAACACATAGCCTTCCAGAAATGGGAGAAGGGGAAGCCCAGATTTTGACACTCCAAGCCAGTGTCCGGGAATATCATTCCTGAGACTTAGAAGCTCATGGTATTCACTGGGTTGCAATGCACCTAGAGTGGGACCCTGGAATGGCTGAGGTGCCATTTATCCTGTCTCGGGCCTTGCTGAGACCATACTGAGGGTACAGTCAGGGGCCTGGCACTGGGATGGCAAGGCTCACAGTGTGCATCAAAGCTATGAACTGGAGGTCCCCGCTGAATCCAAGAAAAGACATGTTTTATTTGGTCCTCATAGAGGTAAAAACATGTTTTTAATTAGCTGTCCCTATTTGGAAATGGGGAGATTTCACATAAAATTCCTACCTCGGCAAGCAACTGGGGCTGAGCAGAGCTGCCCTGCGAGGGGTATGCATCCCATCCCACCCCCCAGGGCCAGGCTGCTTTGCTCACTCTTGCCTCCCACCCTGATGCTGAGTCATTTCTTAATGTGCTTTGGCACCTGCTTTTCCCACTTGGACCAAGGACAGTGCCATCCAGCCCCCTTCCCTTATCTGCACTTCCTGCTGCCGCTTCGGGCCTTTGTGGTGGTGATCCCTGTGTGGCTGGGAAGCTCCTGATCCCTGCTGACTTCTCCCCACCCCCTGGCAGCACTGCCTCCAGGACCTACCTCTGCCCAGCCCTGAGGTGGCGCCTGTGATCACCACCACAGCGTTCCGCACATAGGCCTTCCCGCGCACCCACTGCAGCAGCCGGAAGAGGCCGAAGACGCCCAGGCAGCCGAACAGCAGGGGCAGGACGGCTGTGGAGGTGATGAAGTCCATGGCCCTCACCTTCAGCAGACTCTTCCTGGAAGAACCAAAAGCAAACACACCAGTAACAAAGTAGCAGAGCTCAGGGGACTTGCCTAGGCTCTTCCTCTCATCTGATAGGAATCCCAGATCTTTCTCTATGGACTCCAGCTCTAAGCCCCGGCAAGTATTGTCCCAGGCCCTACACCCTTGGCTGACTGTTCAGCATTGCGGAACTTCCTCCTCTCACTCAGTACTGACAAGAGCAGACAGAAAAGCCACAGGCCTTGTGCTGCCCCTCAGGGAACAAGCGGAGATTGCCATTCAGCCTAGGACGCGGTCACCCACAGTGTTAACAGGAAAAGGTCACGTGTCAGTACTCACCTTCTCTCCTTTGGAAACCTGCGTTGGCCTTACCTCAAATAACGCCTGTTTTCAGTCTCTGAATATTTGTGAAACTAGAAAGGGTTTTTTAAAGGAAAGGAAAAAGAAATTGTACCAGTCCTACCCTCTTCAGAGTAGACCCTGAGAGGATGGATGTTTCTGGGTGGGGCAGCCCCTCCACTGTTACTGTGAGGGCCACAGATGGACTTCTGACCGCAGGCCTCACAGACGCCCAAAGGGATTCGTTGCAGGGCCCTGTGCCAAGCACCAGCATGGGCTCCAGCCAGGGAGTGTGCTGCCCCGCTGTGCCTGTGGCGTGTTCCCGCCCAGCATTCCACATTGAGCCATGGTTGGCCAGGTGAAACCCGGAGGCTGTATGAGTGTGTGTGTAACAGTGTGCAGCTGATTCTCGGGAAATATGTGCTTTTCCCCCACCTGCCCTTACTTCTCCTGAGCCTCCCCCATTCCTCCACATTCACCTGTCCGCCTATACCCAAAGCAGGAGATGAGAGGGAGACCTCATCTCCTGGTGACCTCAGCTGGTGAGGACCATGGTAAGCACCATGTGCTGTCACTGGAAAGCAATGCCCTGGAATCCACTTGAGGAACAAGACAGAGTCTATGAGACAGAGGCTCATGGTCCAACTCCAGGGCTGTGGTTTATGAGCACAGAATCCTTCTCAGGAAAGAAGAGGCTAGAAACCAAGAAGAGAGTTCTGGCAAACCAGCCTGTAGCTTTAAATTATTCATCAGCTTGGAGCAATGATGTAAAACCTCACCCACCTACTTTAATATCCCATCTCAAGCCCACTTTAATATCCCATCCAGGGCATCAACTCTGGATGCCAGAGTGAAGCCAGGAATACTGCGGACTCCCAACATGCATCTGTCTATGCACCAAGTCGCTTTGATCCTGAAGTTCACGTTCAGGTGGCTGTCCTGATCTATGCTAAACTGCCCCCTGCAAGAGGATTCTACCGCAACGGGAACTGTCAACTCAACTAGTTTAGCATTTACGTTTTCACCTGCTTTTCCAGATACACTTGAATTCTTTTTTTTTTTTTTTTTTTTTTTTTAATTGAGACAGAGTCTCACTCTGTCACCTAGGCTGAAGTGCAGAGGCGGGATCTTGGCTCACTGCAACTTCCGCCTCCCGGGTTGACGCAATTCTCCTGTCTTAGCCTCCTGAGTAGCTGGGACTACAGTCACACACCACCAAGCCTGGCTAATTTTTGTAATTTTAGTAGAGATGGGGTTTCACCATGTTGGTCAGGCTGGTCTCAAACTCCTGACCTCAGGTGATCCGCCCACCTCAGCCTCCCAAAATGCTGGGATTACAGACGTGAGTCACCACCCCTAGCCACACCAGAATTCTTGACCATAAAAAATAGCCACATTCTTAGACTGTAAAAATGAGTTTCCCACAAACTGCCACTTAATCCACTTCTGAAAGCTCCTCAGCTACTATCTGCCGTGTGGCTACAGCTCCCTCTTGCTTTACACTAGGCCAAGCCTCCGCTGGATGAACTGGGGATTAAAGCGGTATCTAAAGCACCAAGCTCTTCGCCCCGACACTACTGGTACCATCCCTGCCCCAAGAGGAAGCTCTGGCCAGGTATTCTTGCCTGCAGGCTATGCTGGGTCCTAAGGACCCTGTGTCTGGAACCTGGGAAGTGCTCGGGAAAGGTGGAGAGCAGGCACCAAGGCCTGTGCCACTCCGGGTTCTGTGGGCGCTGCCTGGAGTTCTGCACAGGACCAAGATCCTGAAAACAGGGAATGTGGGAGGGTTTCCCAGGGGAAGGAGGGATAAACAGTAGGAGGCAGGAATGGTTGCCAGTTTGTTGATATAACTTTACCAGAAAATTATAACAATTGACAGAAAGCGAGAGCAGGCTCCAGGTAAGTAAGTATAGCTTAGAACTTGCATGTAATAAGCTGGGTGAGGAGTGCAGGCTTGGGTAGAGTTCAACCCAGCTGGATGGCTATTTGCTAAAAGCTTTTTTCTCACTGCAATCCCAGGTCTTTGTACCAGGCAGGTCTCAGGGTAGGACTACCCTGCCTTGTCCAGAATAGCCCAGGGACCAGCCACTGCCCACAATGAGCTTGAGGTGTGAAAGGAGTGGGGGCCTGGGCTCCACTAGGCGTGCTGGGTGAAAACTCCTCTGAACACTCCTCCATGGGCTGCTGGAGGCCAGAGCCTGTGAAGTCCACCCCATTTCAAACCTACAACCTGGGGCTGAGGTAGAACGCTGCTGAGATTATGGGGGTCAAGAGCCAAGTATGCAGCCTGTTGCTTCCCAAAACTCAGAGACCGCCTGAAAAACACAAATCGCAGCATAACAGTGGCAGTGCAGGGGTCGTGAGGATGAACCTGAAGCCAGCCTGGCTGGGGTCGTGACACCCGGACCCAGTCACTTGGCAGCCTGGCAAAAGGGCCTCACTGCCCTGGGCCTCGGTGTCCTCTCTTCTGAGCTGACATTATGAAAGGACCTGCCTCCTGGTTTGTTACAAGGTTGGATGAATTCATCTGTGTGCACAGAGGCACAGCTGCCACCAGCATCATTGTGACCCTGACTAACTCAAAGTTCCTGGCCCAGGACCTCACCCAACAATCAGACTCCCAAGGCTCTCTGTAGGGACCCCTGGCTTATGAACAGTGGTTCTTTCCAAATAAAGGAAGTTCATTAAGTGTCCAGTGTTGTTTAACTGCTATATCTTCATAAACCCTTCAGTTTAATCAAATTAACATATAGGAAAAAGCTCTACAACATTGTCAGCAGTCAGGCTCTCATGTCCCGACTTTTATGTTAGAAAATGTGGTTATCAAGGCCAGCAAAGCAGGAAAGAGCAGACAGGTACTAAAATGTCCCTCAACCCCCTGCTCACACCCCAGGAGGAGCAGGATGAAAATAAACCAGCCCAGCAAGGCTCCCCAGTGGAAGATGATTAAAGCTCCCAACAAATTGCACTTTCATGCAACCTAATTAAAACTCAAGCCAGCAATCTATGACATGAAGAAAAGAGAGAAAACTACACACCGTCTTGTATACTTCTGAGACTCCTTGAGCACCTGACACAACATCCAGCCTTGGTCTCTTGGCCCTGGGGACCACTTTGCCTGAGGCAAACATGGCACCAGGTGAATGGGATCCATCCTTGGCCTGGGCCGCTTGCTGTGGGGAGAGGGCACGTTGCATTCAGTCTGGTGGGTTGCTATCAAATCAGAATGCAAAGTAAATTAAAAGCCACTGCCAAGGCCGAACACAGTGCCTCACGCCTGTAGTTCCAGCACTTTGGGAGGCCAAGGCAGGGGGATCGCTTGAGCCTGGGAATTCAAGATCAGCCCGGGCAACATGGTGAGATTCCGTCTCTACAAAAAATACGAAAACTAACCAGGCATGGTGGTGTGCATCTGTAGTCCCAGCTGCTTGGGAGACTGAGGTGGGAGGACTGCTTGAGCCTGGGAGGCTGAGGCCCAGTGAGCCAAGAGTGCGCCACTGCACTCCAGCCTGAGAGGCAGAGTGAGACCCTGTCTCAAAAAAAAAAAAAAAAAAATCCAGTGCCAACTCTCCCCTGCTGACACAGAACGACCATGGTGGGAAAGGATACCCCAGAGCAAGCCGTTTATCTGAGAATCAGGTTCAATTCCAGCATAACTTTCCTGACCAGATGAAGCTGTTCATGTTGATGGGTCCCGACTCCTTCTAGGAGTTTTTCAAATTCTGAAAGCCCTCCTAACTGTTCCACTCTTCAGGGCATGTGGCCACACTGCTGGGCCTCCTTGGGCAGGGAGAGGTGCCAAGCCCAGCCCCGGGCCCTGTAACACGACTGCAGTGACAACAAACAGGAGGCAGAGCCCGTGCCAAGGCTGCCTGTTGGCTGTGGCCCAAAAGCCCTCCTTTATCAATTACAGCACTTAATATGGCTACCTAGGAACCTGGACACACACAATTTTGTTTTTTAATGCGCTTGTCTTTGGAAGTCAGGATGGCCATGAGAACTAGCCAGGGAAACCCCATCACCTTGCTGTGATGTCCAGGGCTTTCTGCCAACAAGAAGGACAGCTTCGCAGTGGGAGAAACAGTGTTCTAGCTAGCCACATTTCCAGATTAGGAAATAAGTCTACATAAAGCATGGTCAAAGGGAAGCCTGTTTTCTTTGAAAATGACATACAAGAAGGGCTTTAATATAATTTATCAATCACGTATTTTATACCAAAATCCTTGTTAGCTGCTAGTTTCAGATATATAGCCAGATCATGGACTGAGAAGGCAAGACTGATTGTATAAAAAGGGACTGGGAAAAAATATCTTGCTCACAATGTTCAGCCTTTGGAGATCAACTTATAAAAAGAAAGGACAGAGTCCATCCAGCACCACTGGGAGCCATGGCAGAAAGCAGGACAGAGACGTGGGGAGAGAGACTGAAGCCAGAAAAAGGTGAGAGCCCCTCAAATAGAAACCACAGTGCACACGGCATCTGGAAGCAGAGGGCACCACCTACACATGGCATGTATGCACTTAGCCACACCCTTAGTCCTCGGGCAAGAGATCCAAAGCAAGGTCTCGCACTGATGCTGAGCCTCACGAACCGGCCTGAAAAAGGGACAGAGCTCAGGGGCTCACATACCAATGCTGTCTGCTTGTATTTTCATCCCTTGCCAGATCAATGAGCTCTAGACCCAGGTTAAGAGTGCAAAGGTGGCAAAGCCCTTCTAAGGGTGAGTGTTCCCTGGGCCCAGGCAGCCAGAGTTCGGGGCTCCTTCCCGTGATTCTGGGATACTGCTGCTCCTTTGCTTTCTGCAGAACCCCCCACTGTCTAATTCCCTCACATCAGTTTCTGCAGCTCATCCACCCTTTAAAGAGCTTCTGGAACCTCAAATTAGACATGAGACTATCACCAAGAAATCAACTCTGAGCACAAATGTCACCCTTTATGCCATCCCTTCCATTCCTTCTACTTTGGCCAGAATTCTCCATTGCATTTCACAGATGGAATCCGTTCCTAAGATTCCTTTCTCTCAAGCTTTTTTTTTTTTTTTAAAGAACTGTTAATAAAAATAGGTCGTTGGAATCTACTCAGAAACCACACAAAGAAATTAAACTACTAACAGTCACATCTGAGAATCAAAGGAGGGGATCTCAAAACCTACTAACGTTTTTCTAAAAATAACAATTTCAGGTCTTTAAGAAGGATTAACCATGAAATAATTTGCCATGTTACACACAAGGAAATCGGGCTAAGGGGCAGAGAGGAGTTCCGACTGGAAGGCAAGACACTGAAACCACACGGCACAGAGTTGCTGAGCACTGCTAAAGCAGTCAGGATCCTGTTCCCACAAACCTATACCTACTATTTTATGTTATAACCAATGGCCAATTCTGATCAGCTGCTCTATTTAAGGTGACATAAACTATGGGTCATGCTTATGACCTGTTTCTTAAAATATATTTGAAAGTTTCTGTCATTTTCAGAAAGTAAAGGCAGGGTCAAACTGCTTTTTTTGTTTGTCTCAAACGTCTGAGAAGCCATGGTTAAGGCTGCCTTCAACTGAAAAAAAAAAGAACAATATCCTACCTCGGATGGCAGCTACCTTGCCAGTGGCGGGTCCTGGCGCCAGTGTCTTCTCTGGTCTTTTGACCTGGGCCAGAGGACACCTGCAGGTCAGCAAGCCCTCCCTGGAATGCCTAAACAAGCCACGGCAGAGTGGCCTGTGGGGTGTATTTTCAGAAGCCAGCCTTCAGGCCCCTGGTTTAAAAGAGTACAGGCTGGCTTTCATAAAAATAAAACCTGAAATAAGACTGGAGATTTCAGACCAGGCTCCTGAGTGTTCAATCCTGGGAAGAGCAGCCACGTTGAAGTGAGCTCTGCTCTTCAGTAAGACACTGAGCACATGCTTCCCGGCAATCCCGTGGCGGGGCGGGGGGGCGGTGGGGAGCAGGGAGAGGTGCCAAAGCCCAGCCCCGGGCCCTGTAACATGACGGCACACGACTGCAGTGACAACAAACAGGAGGCAGAGCCCGTGCCAAGGCTGCCTGTTCATTACAGCCCAAAAGCCCTCCTTAACAATTATAGCATTTAATATGGCTACCTAGGAACCTGGACACATCAATTTTGTTTTTTCACGTGCTTTTTAAAGTGAATTTATATCAGGCACAGTGACCAGTGACTCACGTCTATAATCTCAGCACTTTGGGAGGCCAGGGTGGGTGGACTATTTGAGCTCACAAGTTTGAGACCAGCCTGGGCAACACAGTAAAACCCTATCTCTACCAAAAATAAAAAGTAGCTAGGCAGGGTGGCATACGCCTGTAGTCCCAGCTACTTGGGAGGCTGAAGTGGGAGGATGGCTTGAATGCAGGAGGTGGAGATCATGCCATTGCACTCCACCCTGGGTGACGGAGTGGGACTCTGTCTCAAAAAAAAAAAAAAAAAGTGAATACTGGAAGACGCTGGACTAATGTCACTCTTTCCTGGAAAACACATGAGAGGCCCAGGCCCCCCGCCCCGACTCTGAGAGAAACTGGACAAGCACTCACCGTGGTGGTGAAGAAGAGAAAACACCAGGTTGGCATGGGGGAGGGGGCAAGGCCACCGTGCTGCAGACTTGCTGTGCAACACGGGCAGCTTCATTCACTGCAGGAGACTAAGCACACTCACATCAGAATGGGGATGATCGCTCCATTGGGAAAATGCATGGGAAGGCACTTTGTAAATGTGAAAATCTTGAACTCTGCTGTTGAATCATAAACTGAAAAAAGACAATTCCCAGAGAGGATTTCAGAAACATTCCAAGCAATAGCAGCCAAGTTGGCAGCTTTTTTTAAGGACTCGCCATGTTTAAGTATGTTTGGTAGAAAGACCAACCTTATTCCTCCACACCCACACCAGGGATCACCTCAGATCCTGGATGTTGTACACTCATCCGGTCAACTACACTTCCTGTGTTCCCTCTGGTACCAGGCACGGGGCTAGGGCTGGGGTGGAGGGCAATGAACGAAGGAGAAAAGCTGTCTGACCTCATGGAGCCAGGCTCTATGGGAGACTGACAATACACAAAGACACACAAAAATTAAATAATTGTGATAATGAAAGAAACAATCAATGTAAAACAACAGAGAGTAGTGGGCTGTCCAAAGTGCAAGCCTTGCCTGAAGATTTCATTCAAAGTCAGAACAATTCAAACTGCTGTGCTGGCTGAACAGCAAGCAGCACCTGGCCAGGGCCACTGCTAATTTGTCACTCCTAAATCAGATTATTGTCTTTAAAAATTATGTATAACAAGAGCAACAAGACAGACAAGACGCCAATGTAAGTATGAGGTCAGAAATCTAACAGTTCAGAAATCTAGTTTAAAAGGAGATGCTAGAGCATCAACCAGAGTATCTAAGAGGAACTATATGCAGGCATCAGTTTCAGAAACTTAAGAATAAAGCAAGGCTGCCAGGCGTGGTGGCTCAAGCCTGTAATCCAAGCACTTTGGGAGGCCGAGGCGGGTGGATCACGAGGTCAAGAGATTGAGA